GCAAGGACATGTTCAGGAAAGAACATTAAAAAGGCTCATGATATGATTGCCTATTTTGAGACAGCTTGTCTGAATAGATGATGCGCTACTAGATATCAACTTTTATGAATCTGCATAATATGAAGCCCACAGTTGCCACTGAGGTTTGAAGAAGGGCCAAATATTTCACAGCTCTCCGGATATTGAGGTTTTATTACAACAGTTATGGCATATCACTTTCCGCATTAAACTGGGAGTAACTTGTAGTGGCAGGACGCATGACTGGCATGCAAATAATAACAGGTTCTATCCCTGATGTCTCAAGATAGGTCTGGAAAAGCCTGCTTCCAGAAATCCTGGAGAGATTCTGCAAATTGCAAGTAATCTAGTAATCTGAGTTTGGAAAGTTACACTTTGTAACATCATTTGTTATGTAAATAATTACAAAGTCCTCTGACAGTAAATTGTTGATGCTGGATTTTTTTTTTTTTTTGGTAATTTGTTGCATTCCTCATTCCTTTTTTATTCCTTCATAGAGAATTATTAGAATTATTGAATTATTAGAAAACTTGACAGAACAAAACACACACAAAAAAACCTTCTGGACACCCCCAAGTATTTTATTCTCCAGTGATACTGAGGAAAGTTTTAAAACACACACATACATAAAAATAACAAGTAAATGTACTTGTTGGGAACCCAGTGTTTTATAGTGGGCAGAATGTTGGCCTAGGACTCTGGAGACCTGGGTTCAAAACCTTGCTTGGCCATGGAAGCTCACTAGGGAGAGGAACTGGTAAAACTATTCCTTAAATACTGTACTTTACTTACCTCAGAAGGCCACTATAAGCCAGTTCTGACTCAATGGCCCATAACTAACTAATGTTTTGTGGGAAACATTAGTCATGTTATATAATACATTATAAGCAAAAGGACCATTGTTGTATCCTAATTACCGTATTTTTCCATTTATAACATGCCTCCATTTATAAGACATCCCCCCCCAATTTTCTAACCCCCAAATTAAGAAAACATAGCTTTGAGGATTCAGCCTCTGAGCTCAGAACATCGGATATTTTGAGTCTCTGCTGAATCTGAACCTACAGGCTCCACCTCCAAGGAGGTGTGTTGGTTTGTTCAGGATCAGTTGATGTCAGTTTCGTGATTGGAAGAAGCTAAGTCTCCTGATTGTAAGAAACTAAACCTCCTGACTGAAGGAAGTCTGTTTACAGAGACAATGTATGTGCCATTTTGTTCTCTCCTCAGCTACCTCAGCTTACTTCTGTGTAAAAGATGCTGCTCAATTTTTAGTGTAATGATTTTAGGAAAAAAGTAGTATCTTATAGATGGAAAAATACGGTACCTCGTAACATAACATGGACAAGTATCACACGGCTTTCCTTTCCTTTCTTTTTTGTAATAGTAAATTACTGATCTATAAGAGCCACTTGGCCATCCCTATCTATCTCTGGTATAACGGTGGAACAAACTTTGCCAGAATGTATACGTGTGCTTAAAAGCTGTCTCAGGAACTTGCATAACTCATTCCAGGGCAGCTACTCAACTTACAGTGACCCTCCTTTCATGTTGCACCCAAATAAGAGAAAACGCAGTGTCCCACAATCAAACATCAGTGATGTTTGAGAAATACAGTAAGCTCATTTGAAGCAAAACCACACAAGCCAGCAGCTCTTGTGCATGATGAAGCTCAAATGATTTGCACAACACACTCCTGAAGCTTTCTTGTATACTGCTAAAGAAGGCCAAATCTGCTGTGTAAAGTTTCATTGAATTGCCCATCACATGCATGCCCACAATTTTTTTTTTTTGGAGGGGGGTTGAATGAAACCCAAAAGGAGATGTCTGCTTGATGAATATGAAAAATAAAAATAATAAAATCTCTCTTGGTTCAGTGAGGGACTCTTTATTACAGCTGTACTGTTCAACAGGCAGAAAGAGTCAGCTAAGCTACTACATTTTGAATCCAGTTCTTTTTGGCTATCTCCCATCTGGCTGCAGATAAAAAAAGAGCTGGCTATAAATCCGGATTTTTGAAACAGTATAGACCCTATAGCTATTGGGAAAGTGGAATGTGAACTGCCATGTCCCCTTTGCATAGGGGTATTCAGTACTAACAATTTAAATGAGTGAAACATCAATTAGTGTAACATTTTAATTTTTAATTTTTAAAGATTAGATTTCAAGCGCCTTTTAAAACATAGTTCCAAAAAGTAAGGAATTTAATGTTACTGCATTAATTTTAACACATTATTTCCAGGCTCTGGGAGAGATCCACAGAGATAGTTTCCCAACTGGAATTTAAGCTGTGGCATTCAGAATTAAACTGCTCATATACGTACTTACGAGGGAGTAAGTCCCATGAACACAATCAAAGTTTTTGGTACAGGTGGAAAACATCAGCAACAGTTTAAAATCTGCTGTACCAGATGCCTAAAGAAACAATTGGCTCAAGCCAATGTGGGTTCTGCATTACTGGTTTCATTTAGCTTTATTTATTGTTATTTCATGGACGTTTTCTACTAATGAACCATCAGTTTCATTTGTGCCCATAATAATTACACAATTACCTATCTTAGAAGCGTTTAGTAATAACATTTGTGGCCATAAATTTGACTCTCTCTTTTAAATGCCATCATAATTCAGTTTTAATGAAAACCTGAATCCTGTTTCAGAATGCAAAAGAAAATGGACTTTAGTACAAATAGAAGCAGAAGCAACTTGTTATGGAGTAAACTGCTCCATGGTTAGTAAGATTTTGTTTGCACTTTGTGTAAGCAATGATTGCTGGTACTTGGTTAGTGATCATTGTTGGCAAAGGTTCTGAACTTTTGCTCCTAGGAGTTATAGGCAACTATTAAGAATGTACTAAAGTCCATGGAATGTTGATTGGGGAAATCGTACTGTGGTATTGCAGACAAAAGAGCAGGGGGAAACTGAGACTATTTCACATGGGTAGAACAAAAACTAGTCTGAAAAGAATTGTGACAGATTCTAACAACTGTCCCAAGAAACATGTTGGAGCATCATGCCCCAGTGTGCAGATTGGGGAAGGCTGGTTCAGCATACTAGAGGGGAGCTGTTTCCTCCTTGTTTGTTCACAAAAAGCTGTTTTTTCTCCACCACCTCTTTGGGCTTCTGCACCATTTAAACATCTGACTCCAGAGGATTTCTCCTCCTTTAAAGCCATTTTTGGAGAATATTGTCACTGGATTTATTTCCTTATGCCCTAATTTACTTTCTGCTCCACCTTTCTCCCTGTGGATGCTATCCAATGTCTTCTGTTAGATATTTTAATCTGTTTTGTTTTGCATCTGTTTAGACCAGGCTCCTGCAGTGTGTTGTGCAAGGTTTAAGTCACAACTGTGGGTCTGCATAGCTAATCTCTCAAAGAGTAATCATTACAGCTGAGCAAGTGTACCCACTACAAACACTTTTAATTAAACCAAAGGAGATGAAATAAAACGAATGTGTTTATAGATTGGCAAAATATTGAATACAATATTGTGAGGAAAATAACACTACAAATTGAAGTAATGTTTGGATTGTGAGATGGAAGAATTCATGTTTGAATAAAAGATACTGTACTGCTAAATGAAAGGCAACTCTGTGAGTTGAAGAAAAGAATTTCCAGATGTAAGAATGAAGAGTCTTGCAGTACTGTAGAGGTTTACTTGGCACATGTGTTTGTGTACTTCTTCAGATACAAAGACTACAGTGTATGAAAGCTTATGTCCAATAAAAATGTGCTCATCTTTAAAGTACCACAGCACCCATTGCTTTTGCTGCAACAGGCTAAGACAGTTACCTTGTGGATCTCCCAGCTGAGTTCCTGGAATATGAGTCTTTCTCTAGACTGCTTCTATCAAATGTTTTTGTTGACAGCTTTGATGATACAAGCAATATCAATGAAATAACAATTAGAAGGGAATTCAGTTGAGAATGGAAAATATGCATAAGGCATTTGATGATTCATGAGCATCAGAAAGGGATTGGAATTTAATAGCACCACTGTAAGCATCATGAGCATTTTTGACACATAAGGGACACAATATGGAAGGATATAGAAGATATTGAGGGCTGACGGTTGACATCTATGACATCTGTCAACTGCTAACATAATTCTTCCTTTAGGAAAACAAATTGACTTATTTATGGAACTTGGAGTCCTGTTTCAATCATCACTGTTCAAAAAAGATAAGATTAAAACTGGGGAAAAAGCAGAAGAAAACAAACTCCAAAATTATAAAGGAAGAGGGATTCATAAAGCCATCTCTAAGATAAACTAATTCTTGGGGCTTACTGGCATACTTTCATGCAGCTTCAACATGCTTTTTAACACTTCCAATCTACCCAGATGCAGTTCTTCTGAACTTCAGCTGAGTCTTGGATTTTAAAAGGAATGAGGTAGAGCTGCAGGCTGCTCACATCATCCAGATGTTGACATGCAGAAGTGGCTTTTTTGTAGCTTGTAGCACAGTATACTGAGGCAATTGGCACACTAGCAGATTGTGAGCAAGAGCAACCTACCAATGAACTGTTCCAAACCAAAATCCTTCTTTGCAATGTCTTTTTATGGACTCTGCCATTGGCTCCAGCTTTAAAATGAATAATTTTTACACATCTTCCTTTAAAAATAATTTCAAGAGTCAGCTCCTTTGAGTCCTAGCTGCCTAGCACCATTCCTTTAAACTCCTCTGAGTCCTAGCTGCCTAGCACCAGCTAGTGACAGATATTATTAGATTTCTGTTTGGTTTCTACCTTGTGATATTTGGCTGCTGAGAATTTATATACATTTTTCACTCTTCTACACTATCTTTTAACTAACAGGAAGTGATATGAAAAATGTGTTTGGCTTTTTCTTCCATGCTCAGATAAATCCTTTAAAATTATTTCACCACATATCCAGTGTTGTGTGGTTTGTTTAGTGCTGTAATGCAAATGACGAATTCCATTTGACTACCACATCTCTGTGCAATTTGCCATGCTTTGCTTCTCTGCAGTGCACATAGAGCCTGGCACATGTGAAGTCATTGCTGCCCACAGATGCTGCAATAAGAACAAGATAGAAGAGCGCTCGCAAACAGTGAAATGTTCCTGCTTTCCAGGTCAGGTGGCTGGGACGACACGGGCTGCTCCTTCATGTGTAGATGGTAAGTACATAAGCCTTCATAAAGTGGGCATACAGATATGGGAGTAGATACAGATGAAGACAAACATTCATAACTCTAAAGCCTTTAAGTCTAGATAACTGTGCCAGTCAGGAGATTTACATCAAATATTTCAGGCCATATGGTTAATATAGGCAGCTGTATATATGACTTCAGGCAATCTTCTGTTCTTTTAAGGTACAAAAGATTCACCAAATTGATAGCATATATAATAGTCTGATAACTGATAAATGTCAGCTGGAGAGACTAATTCTGATGACTCATTTAACTTTGAATAAAGTTGTATTCAAATAGACATAAAGATCTTCAGGAGGAAAGTGCCAGTGACTCACTTGTGGGCATCCAAAAAGCCATTATCACCTCAAATCAACCATTCTGTATACCAGGCAGTTGTGTTTGACTGACATTGCTGTTCTCACCTTTCATTCTGAAAGTGCTGGTTTTGACATACAACACTCTAAGTGACTTGTGTCCAACCAAATGGAAAAGACCACATCTCTCTTTATGAGCCTCTCTGGGTTTAAAATCATTATGGTGGCCTTTCTCTCAGTCCTGCCACCCTGAAAGAGGTGTTTGGTGATGACACAAGACAGGACTGTCTCTATCATTGTTCCCAAGTTGTGGAACTCCATTCCTTCAGGAGGCCAGATTTTCCCCTCTTTTCAGCCCTTCTGCAAGCAGGTATAGAAAGACATTTCTCTTCAGGCAGTCTTTTTCTCAGTAACTGGTTGCCTAAGAGGAGCAATGCCTTTCCCCTTCTAGTTTTAATATTGTTTGTTTTAATACTGGAAGCTACATTGGGTCCTCATGAGGAGAAAGGCGGGATATGAATGAATGAATGAATGAATGAATGAATGAATGAATGAATGAATGAATGAATGAATGACACCACAGTATCTCTGCAGGTCAGAGCCAGACTGAGACTGAGGAAGCATGCTAATTTACTTTCAAAATATAAATCCTTGCATGGAAAGATAACAGGGACTCTTGTTCGTGAATCTTTTGCCAGTCTGTATAGATCAGGAGTCTCCAAACTTTTTACGCTGAGGACTACACCAGATACATTCAAGATCTTAGAGGGCTGAAGGAACATGCATGCACATGTACACGCGTATGCCCGCTCGCTCGTAACCCTCCCATGCCCACACGTACGTGCAGATGCATGGATGCAAATACACACTGCAGATGCATGCGCACACACCCGGCAGATGCATGCATGCACACACGCTTCCCTGCCCACGTGCACGGGGTTAAGGGAACAGGTCAGATAAAACAGCAAGGTGAGCCAGATGTGGCCCACGGGATGTAGTTTGGAAACCCCTGACATAGATCAACAATACACAACCTAGCTGGCTGAGCAGGATTACAACCATGTCATATCCAGCTAGCACACCCTTAATTAAAGCTATTATACGTATGTGCCTGTGGGTGAGTTGAGCATTCTTCAACGAATGCTTCATTTTTACAGTAGAAAATCAGGGCCACTGAGAGGCTCAGTGTTTTTCCCAAACTCATCCAATTCTACCCCAGTTTTACCCTAGGTAAATTTTTCATAGCCTTTCTTTTCCCTCCCTGTTTTTATGTGGGTGACAAAAGTGATGATTATGCTACACATTCTGGACAGGAGCAGAGATTCACAATGTACTAACAGAACACGAGATAGCAGCAGTGGTGGCACACAGAGAAAAAAAGAGGCTTGGGACCACATTATTTTTTATTCTAATTCCAACCCATTTGTTCTTCAGCTGTCCTACTGGAACAGGTCCTTACTGTTTTAATTTTAGGGATGGGGGATGCAGACTGGTAGCATATGCCTTGCCTGGTGAGTTTAAATTTCAGTTTAGTTTTGAGCTAAATTTTCCTACATTCAGACCTGGCAACACATGCAGAAGAGCACTCTGGCATCACAGGGAAAAGACAGAAGATGTCTGAAGAACCCCCAAAACTTCCCCTCCCCTCCCCCCATGTTTTATATTAGCAACACATTTTGGGACATGTAACTTTACAATCAATCTTTAGTCAAACAAACTTGCAGGGGAATCCTTTTTTATCCTGTAATCTGGGATTCAGTATGATCACACAGCCTCCTGAGTTCAGATCTTCTGCACTGGTGTCTATAAAACAGCAGACTGGTTGCCTGTCTCCTTCTTTACTTATGGCAACTAGAGCAAGCTAAATAGGGTCACTAGGAATTATGGTATGCAATTTGGTGTAATCCTCATATTTAAATGGCATATGGACCTCAAGTGACCCTATTTGATTTTCAGCAGCCTGCTGTCAATTTGCCAATATTTTGAAGTGCTTGAAGAAGAGGGCCACTTCACAATATTAGCACATTGAACACTTCCTTGGTTTTGTGGAAGAGCTAAAGAAGTGATGAAAAAAACTAAGTGTGTATTATAGGAAGAAGTGCGCACTGCATCACTTAAAAAACAGCAATACACATTCCTTATGCTGTTTTTCAAATGATACAGCACATATTTGCTGCTCTAAATATGCACTTTTTTAAAAAATGTTTTTTTCCATTTCCTCAGCACCTCCACAGAGCTACAAAAGCATTTAATTTGCCAGTGTGAAGTGGCTCAGTTAACAATATTGGCAAATTAAATGAGGAAGGCTTGCTTTGATTTATTTCCAGTGATCACATATGCTGAAAACAGATCTACCCACACTACAAAGTAGAAGCTCCTGACAGGGGCCAGAAAGGTGTTGGTAGGACTGTTCTTCAGATGGGCTGATTCACTCCAGCAAAGACATTATCTCGTCACCATCTTTGGGAGTAAACTAAGACTGTGTCCACAGCAGACCAAAGAGCAGGTTAAATGTCCATGTTGTCAGCCTCTAGTTTGTCAGTGAACCAACCAAACATGCATTTATGATTTTTGATTTGAAGCCCTGAAATGGACACAAAATGAGCATTCCTGCATTTGTGATGTCCTTAGTTAGGGAATCACTTCAGTTTTTACCTGGATCCATACTGAATATATGTGTTGGAAGCAGGGGAATCATTGATTTCCTGCTCTTTCTAGAACACTGAGGCCACAGATACCTTGTTTTGCTGGGAAAGGAGTCAGATGTGGGATATTAGAAATCCAGGACAGCCTCACCATATTTGTCAACAATACAGTGGGGAGGAGAAAGTGTAAATGTGATCCAATAGATACTTAATGCTACTTCCTAATTGTATATTATCAATGACCTCTTAAAAATGTTGATATAATATACATAACCTTTAATTACAGGTGTACATTCTGCCTTTTTCCCAGGTAAAGTGGAGTTTGTAGAGTGTCAAATCATGCACCTGGTCTATGGAGAATATAAGATATAATGTCCTGTTATTGTCTCAGATTTCAGTACCACTGCATATGTTAATGTTTTAATGGGTCAATTAAATGGTTGGGTCAGTTCAATTAATGAACCTGATGGTTTACTCTGAAAAAAGTATGCATTTTATCAAGATTTCTTTTAAATAAATGACTTCTTGAGTGAAACATTAATTAACTTGTTCAGTTTTGGACTGTGAAACTAATATTTAATGCCCTTATAGGCATTAAATTACTTTTTGTACTAATTCTGAATCAGACTATTTCATATAGTCCTTATTTTGTCAGTTTAGTCATAGGCCAAAGAACTCTTTTGTTGGTTATTTAAAAAAAAAAACTTGGAAAAGCCTATTACTGCAATGTAGGTGCAGAACACATGAATAAAAATAAACCATCTAATCACCTGTGCAAAGCACTGAAGAAAAAAAAAAGCCCATCTATATTTTATTGAGCAGTGTCATTCTGGATCTATCTGAAGTGGCTGGAAGCCTCTGCTGGTGCATTATTGATTGGCTTGGCAGCCTGACTGGTGCAAATGGATTTGTACATGATGCCAAGAAACTACTTTGAAAATATAGGCTACAGTTCCCATGAAAGGCTGCATTCCCAGGCAGCCTCACCAAGGTGGTTCCTGTTGTGTGAACAAAGCATTTCCCCATAAACCATCCTCTGTAATTTCATGGGAATTACCATGTAACCATGAATAACAGCCCAGATGTAAAGTTCTCACTGATACAATACTGCCATTAAAGTGCAAACAGCACGGGGAGAAAAAAAGGATTTGGTGGGTTTCTGATATACTACAACATTTTGTGCATGTTCATTGCCTTCCTGTCACCGTCATGCTACTGGTTAAAGCAAAATAATTTTGTGAATGTCAGAGATGCTTGATGGTTCACAGTAAAGTCATTGGAAGGAATTGGAGGGCCAGTTGTGTGATTGACCTTGTGCAGGGCACATACAGTAGGCTGGATGAACTGTACATACTCTTAGTGGGCAGAAGGTTCATATATGCTAAAACAGGAGTATGTGTGTGTGTATTGAATTCCACATCTGGATTTGAACTGCCCAGCCACGTTGTCCGTGAACTGGCTCGCTCCCCATTCCCATGCTATTGCAGTCAAATGACCAGTCAGTTCCTCTGAAATAATACACTTTGCCCATTAATTAAACTATTCTCCTCCAAATAACCCAAAAAACTTTGTGAAGATAGTGGTTCCATCACCCTACCTCTGGTTAAACCAACCCCCCTTAAAAATTGCTCTTCAGTTACAGAGGAGACTCTTGAGGGGACAGAATTCCCAGCTATTATATAACTCTTTTCTCCTTCTAGGAAGGGGGGCTTAATTCCTCACAGAATAGGAATTCTGAATTACCTGGCTCAATAGGATAGACCATACATTGCTAAGTTTAAGAAGTTACAAATTGGGAATCTTTTTCCCACTCAGCCTGATCAGTGTTAACTAGCGGACACCTGCTGTTGTCCCCTCCCTCCCATGCTTTGACTCGGATCAATAAAATATCTTATTCTATCTATTCCTGTCTCTGAGTGATTAATCTGGAACACTGATGTTTCTCCCAAAAAGACTAACTACTAATGCATGCATCTGTTCAAGGCTGATCCCCGAGATAGCTTGCGCTTGCCTCCTCTGTCATCTG